GTTTAGGGTTTAGGGGGTCTTAGGGTACGGAAGACGATCTCTGGGTTGTTCAGCAGACGGAGCGATCCATAGATCCCGAAAAAAGATCCCTAGACCAGTTATAAGTATACCACTCCTCCTAAACCGCTACAGAGCCCTTATGAATGTTCCCTTATAACTACCCATCGTTCCCGTATAAATCCCAGACCCCTTATAATTAAGTACCTACAGACTCCTTATAAGTCCGTTTAGCTCCCTTTTAAGATCCTTACAATCTACATCCCAAAAGACTCCCGGTGCATGAGTAGAGCCATGAGATACGCACTCGGATAGATTTTGAAGGCCGTAACTCCCAGTCGCATGGCGTTGTCCTCAATCTCATCCTCAATTGCGTCCGACATGAAAGCGTCATCACATGACGCCGGGTCATTTGGATCAACCGTCTCATGGTCAAAGTCTTCAAACTTAGCGGTGAGAGGCAACCCGAGAGTCGCCACCGAACACCTGAGGTAATCCACGGATCCCACAAGACCAAGGCCTGCGCTGGAGATGTTGGAAATCTGCACAGCTGCAGCCTGCTCTGAAGTGACTTTCATCACATTGTGGTTCCTGTTCAGGTAGGACGTATCGTCCCCGCTGAGGAGGGTAATGCTGGCCCTATGCCCCCAGTAATTGCAATGGGCGTGAAGAACTGACATATCGCCACTTTCAAAGCGAGTTCGCTGAGTCAGTCCTATGACCTGCCTGAAGGGCAGAGTTTACGCCTTCAGCATTAGTTTCCGACACCATCCAAGCATGGTAGTGCAGAATCTTCGTTCCTATCATGACGGAGTCGAGGTCGGCACTGAGCTCGTTAAACGCTTCCAATCCACCAACGGCTTTCGCCTCAGAGGAGCGTGATGCTCGACAAACCTTAAAGGCGTCCATCTTAGCTGATCCTTCTGAAGCTTGAGTCCGCTTGGCTGCCTTCTTCTTCTCCCAATATCCTTGTCTCCAGGACTCGGGTTTAGGGTTTAGGGTTTGGGTCACGAGATGGACGTAGGGTCCTGCTTTCCGCAAGCATCGAAGAGCCTTCTCGAAGACTATCGGTTCGGCTGCGTAAGGGTCTGGGATTTTGCTTGTGCCGTGCAGTCACTCTATAGATATTGAACAATGTTAACCATGATGATGATACGAACACTGAAATACAGAAATGCCAAGATTGAGCGTAAACATGGAAATCTTCGCGACACTGACCCCGAGAATCCAAACCTTTTTACTGATACTTAGAGTACTAATCAGAATGCAGAATTCTGCCATACTCCGGCCTCGAGGATTGAAGCTGGGATTTCTTCTGGTGAAGGCTTTTGGGTTTCAGTAAGGGCTCGGGCTTGAGGGCTTGAGGCTTTGGTCGGGCCTAGCTGTGGGCCAAAACCTGCCGTTTTCAGGAGTTATTTGTGTCAACCATGAGAAGGGAGAAGGAAACCCGGAAAAAGGGCTTCGGTTTCAGGGTCTTTGGGCTATAGAAGTAGTTAGTGTCTAGGGTCGCATGGAACGGAGGAAGAGCCACCGAAAAGTCCTGACCATGGAGGTACTCGAGCGCGAGCACAATGCAAGCGGTATACCTGGAAGATGCTCCACTACAGATCTGCTCTTTCAGCAGGACAAGCAGGAAAAGAAGTAGTACCAGTAGCAGCAGCAGCAGCAGCAGCAGCAGCAGCAGCAGCAGCAGCAGCAGCAGGAGTAGTAGCAGTAGTAGCAGTAGTAGCAGTAGCAGTAGCAGTAGCAGTAGCAGTAGCAGTAGGAGTAGTAGTAGTAGTAGTAGTAGTAGTATTATTGGAATGAGGAGTAGTAGTAGTAGTAGTAGTAGGAGGAGGAGGAGGAGTAGTAGTAGTAGTAGTAGTATTAGAATGAGGAGTAGTAGTAGTTGTTGTTGTTGTACTACGACGACGACGACGACTACTACTACTACTACTGCTGCTACTACCTACTACTACTGCTGCTGCTACTACTACTACTACTACTACTACACTACTACTACTACTACTACTACTACTACTACCACTACTACTACTACTACTGAGTCCTGCTGGGTGCTGGACTGAAACTGCGACTGGGACTGCGGCTGGAATGGGACTGGGACTGGGCTGGGGCTGGGTCCTGGACTGGTCCTCGTCCTCTCGTCCTGGTCCTGGTCCTGGTGCTGTCATGGTTCCGCTACTGCCACTGCTACTGCTACTGCTACTGCTACTGCTACTGCTACTGCCACTTCCACTGCTGTTGCTGCCACTACTACAGCTACTATGATGACGTCTAGTACTTCTGCTACCACGACCACTGCCACTACTTCACTACTTCTTCTTCTTCATTCGCAGCGAAAAGTCTTCGCTTAGCGTCCCATTACGGCAGCGAAGCCGGCGCTTTACAGCGCACTCCATTCTGGAGCTCGGTGCAACTTAGCCCCGACACGAATGCCAGCAGGCTTCTCGACCACTGCCACTACTAGCACTACCACTACTACCTCCACTGCGACGACAGTACGGCAACTGCCACGACCACGAAGACCACCACGACAACTCCGAGAGCCACCAACGCCACGACCACCACTACCTCCACCTGCACATCGGCGCCGCTGCCGCTAAAGCTAATGCTACCACTACTGCTATCACTACCACAACCGCTGCCACTGCAAACGCCAATTTCAACACCAATGCTTCCAGCATCACCAAGGTTGAAAACAATACGAAAAAGAACACTCGTAGCGCTCGTGACCATTGACGAAGAATGCTTGCATGAAGTGTTGTAACCCAGGTCGTTAATAGAGGAAATGTTGCTTCCAGGGGCTATGCACAGGAGAGCTGAAGACATCGCACAATTCGCGTAGACGTGTCCGTTATGTGTTATTGCCCAGAGTCTTTATTGCCGTGCGCGGAAACCAGGTGTCCTCCAACGCATTGCTTGAGCGGAACGGATCCAGGCTCCGATCAGACTGTCTCAACGCTCGGCGTTGCAACAGTGAAGTGCGCAATTGTATGTCACTTTCCCCTTCGATTGCTGTGCGGTGGTGATCCAAGCCGAAGGTTGCAATTGGCGAGGCCCGGCATGTCAACCGTGAGGCCCACGCTGGCAGTGTGTTTAAATCATTCTTACCAGAGCTATATCGGATTACCCTATAATCTGCATGAGTTGATAAGGCCCATGCCCTTCTGACCACTTGGCATACCTTCCACTCGGGTTCTCTGCACCGTGCCATAAGGCCTGAGCTCGCGATAGCGCAGGCTAACTTAGCTTGCAGAGTCTGCTCGGGAGCTCTCCCCGCATTGGGGCCCAGCGAGGCCAGAAGCTCGACATCCTGACGCGAGACTCCATCATGTTGCGTCACAGTGTTACCTCCAAGCCTCACCTGTCCTCGCCTATCCTCGCCTTCTCTGCCCAGCTATCCGGCAAGGGCCATAGAAAGATGCCGTTGGCCTTCACCCTGACGGTGCAAAACACAGCACGAGCATCATCATTACTTTCCCGACGCCTCCTTTTCCGCGCCATCTTTGGAGGTCCACCTTTCTGCAGTCGAATGACAGACAAACTCATTTTGCTGCGGCCTGTCTGAGAGTTGAATCTAGCGACGAAAAGCTGGCAACTACGAAACTACGAGGAGTGCCACCTTGACTATCCCGCATATTTGCTGCCTGTCTTGGCTAGTCTCTGTACTTTATGGCAGTAGGCACTAGCATGCTGATGCTGATGCTGCTGCTGAGGCTTCTGTGACTTCTGTGTGTGGCGACAACAGCAGCAATTGGTTGTTGCGTCATGCCGCTGCACCTGCTGGCCCTAGCGGCCCTACTAGTGCTGGTGCCTGTGATGGTATTGGGATACTGGGTGCTGGGCCGGTCTGCCATTGGTGCTGGTCGTTTCGGTGATTGGCAGTGATTGTTAGCTATAATGATGACGATGACGGCAGTGATGATTGCGGTTTTGCTACCGATGACGGGGATGAGGGTGAGGATGAGGGTGAGTGTAGGGTGAGGGTTAGGGTGAGGGTGGTGATGTTGGTGATGATGATGATGATGACGTCAATGTCGATGTCGTCGCTGATCAAGAGGCAGGAGAAGGAGGAGAAGGGCGAGGGGGAGGAGGAGGTGGAGCTGCAGGAGGAGGTTGGCGAGGGCGCACGTCATAGTTTTACGGCTCTGTATGCTTCGGTTTCTGGCCGCACTTCCGGTCTTTTACTTTACTTAGCCTTCCTTCTACCACCGCATCAAAGATTACAGGTCGCAGGTGCATGCGTCAGCTGCCATGCATCCGAGGGGAATCAAGAGTAGCAGCGTAGTGGTAATTGCAGAACTGCTTCATCAACTAACACACATCGAAACTCAGTGGCCCTTCCGCCGAGGGTATTGAAAAACGCAGACATGGGATAGATACCCGCACCAGTGTTCCGGGAAGTCCTGGAGCAATCTCTGATACGCTCCGCAGCAAGGCACTGGCCTGAATCATCTGCTATTCGGAGGCTGAAGCATTCGCTCTGTTTTGGAGCCTGCAGGAAGAGACGCCGAGTGGTGCGCACAATTCGCTCGTCGGCGATGGCCTCGTGATTGGCCGTCTGCTTCTCGGAAGCCGACCGCATGTCAAACCCATGCAGCGTCTGGACCTGAGATGTGGTCTGGGGTGCAGGGTGTAAAGGGACCTAAACACAACGGAAACCGCTCTTCGAGCCCTGTAACAGGAACCGTTGGCGAGAGTAAACGCAACCAAGCTAACAGAGTAGCTGGCACCACTGCACAAGCGACACCACGACAGGCATGGCAACTCCCTCTAACCGTCTCTAACCCAACATGCCTGAAATCCGATGTTCCCAAATCCAATTCTGTAAGAGCTCAGCAACCTTTTACGTACAGATTCAAGCGACACACACCAGCGACCTGAATTGCCTGCCCAATCCTGCCCAACAGCATCCAGCTGTGACCAAACTCTTCTAACTGGGGGACGGGAATTCGGTAAAGCTAAAAGGGCTTTTGTGAAAGCGTTCCAATCTGTCTGGAAGTATGCCGTGAGCTCAAGGCAATGAACCACTGCCGTATTGCTATTGCACTGGGCCCGGGGTGCCTGCTACCGGAGCAGCTCCGTTCGAATAACAGGGACGGTCAGTTTAAGTCCCGAAGCGCACTGCGAAGCGGCGTAGCCCGGCGCTGATAGCTGACAATTAGCTGAGCTCGTGGCGGCAGCCCTGGCATCACTGGCATTCTGAAATCGAGCTAGCGCCTGCCAGTTTGGTGCCATGACGGGCATTGCGGCTGCGGCTGCGTACTGAGCCTGCAGACCGTTCTGTCCTTGTGAAATCACCTGCGAAAGCATCTTCGGCCGCACCGGAAGCTGATGATCTTAGCTGAGGACTGTGCTGGAGGCCCTTCTAACGGTCCCAGGCGCTGCAGCAAACTTTGCACCTGAGGCCGAGCTCTAGAGCACCTGAAACGACTAGACATGAAGATCTGCGAAGTTCTGAAGGCCTTCTGAGGCAGGACCTCCAAAGCTGCAGGGACGACCTCGACATTCCCGCGACTCGACTTCTAAATCCTCGAATCGCAATGCTGATTTTACTGGGTACCGAGCCCAGGAAGCTGGGAAGTTCTGAGCAAGTACCGCCTGCGAGGTCGCTCGGGCGGTAGAGAACTTGTTGAATTGAATTGGACAAAGGCCCGTGCCAGACTCCAACAGGCTCCGACGGGCTAGACGTGGGAGGATTTCAGGCTACTTTGCACTGACGCTGATATCGGCATGCCTGACATGCCTGGTGATTCTTGATGACGAGAATGGAGATGCATGAGCTGATGTTGAAGAGACGATGAGAGGGTTCGGAATGATTGGCCCTAAGCCGAGTCTAAGCTCGAGCCCAGGTTTACACCCCTTCGACCTTTGTTTGACACCCGACATGGCAAAATCTCGCAATTGTGGAAAGTTTGCTGCCGTATCCCCATTCCTGTTCAGCGCAAGCACAGGGTTGCTGATTGAGTGCACCGTCGCAGGTGCCTTTCCACCGGCGTTGTTTGCCTTATCGCTCGACAAAATGCTCATCAACACAGTGCTGACAGTGTTAATCGGTACGACCTCCCTGACCTGCACAATTTCAGACAGCAAGCGTGGATGGAGATCGTCAAGCTTACGGAGCGTTTACCGACACTTCCCGAAAAAGCAGCTCCACTTCGGCCATGCTGCCGCTGACATGGCCCAGATATGGCTGGCGACATGTGCCACACAGCAGAACAGTCAACAGCGTTGAAGGCGGACATATACTTCCTGCCCACACTCCGAAGCAATTGTCAGGCATCTACACATGTCGTCCTAAGGGTAAGTATGGACAGAATAGGTGAATGTTCGCGACTGTCATTTGGCCATGTGACTGCTGGGCTTCAACATGCTTCAACCCAAGAATGTAGCAATGTGTCCCTCTGCATGCTTCCCATGCTTTCTTGCAGAAGCGGTGTACTGGCCAGCTTCGCGCAGAATCAGATGCAGCTTGGCAATGCTTATGAAAAGCAGCTGCGGCATGGCAGCAACTTCTTACTTGCCTTGACAGCGCAATCAATGAGAGCTACATCCGGTGCTCTGGATTCGCAAAGGATTCCAACAGCTTCTGTCTGCAGTTGTTGGCGCGATCTGATATCAGAATGCTGCATGCTTCTCACTAACAGGGCTGCAAGAAGTGGAGTCCACAATGTGGTGTTGTCGTCGGGGCTTTTCCAATTTCAGGGTGGGCATTCGCCGATCATCAACGTAGTATATAAGCTAACAGCCAACACATTTAGCAGATAACAAAGCGGCTCCGATTGATGCAGCACTGCGCCGACACCAACAATGGATAATGAGCTTGTTGGGAAGCTTTCAGTTGGCGGCTCGCGGTGTTTGTCTAAATTTAAACTGTCCATCTAATTTTCGTGCTGCGTTATTCCTCCTTACGGATGACCGCATTTGTGTTATATGCCATTCTTTGGTGTCTGGTTCGGTTTGGGTCCCGTGGCAGCAGCACGCTTCGGAGGCGGATTCCCTGCAGTGGACACGCCGCCCTCGCACCGATGTCCAAGGTCCGTCCGAGGATGGTTTGAAGCGCAGCTTGGAGACTTTTGTCACCGCCCTTGCGATGCTTGATCGTCTGCACCTGGCTACCATCATCTCTTCCGCTTAGACTGACAGAAGTGTGCAGGCATGACTTGCCATCCGTCCCGCGATCACCCAAACCATTCCGTCCGAACACTGCGTCAGCCGAACGGCCCCAGAAATCCTTGCAGGCGTCCTTGCCGGTCCGGGGGCCAACAAGTCACTGCGATGCCCGGGAGAAGATCCGCCCAAGAAGCCAAACCCTAAAGGTACGGCCAACAAGCAACCGGACGGGAGAGAGGCGATCACTACACCTTTTGGCAGTGGAATCCTCAGTAGAGCATTCGCTCGATAGTTTCGCAGGCAAGTAAATTACCCACCTGCCTGCAGTCTGTTGAATACGCCCAATCGGCTGCACGTGGGCAGCAAATTAACTCGGCACGCCCCCTACCCCATTTGGGGCGGGTGGGCGGAAATTTCAAGCAGCGACATGTGATGCTGGAATCTGAACGCAAGCAGGCGTGGACATGCTTCTGCAAGCCGGTGCCGAAACTGCAATGGCTCGCTGCTTTCTCCACTGCCTCTTCGTTTCGGTGGAGTGCGTCTGGTAAGCTGAACAGCTTCAACACCAACCAGCCCACAGACACAACAATCTTGGCAAAGCCCCAGTAGAAACGAAAGGGCGGGTGAGGAGGAAGTAAACTTTCGAAAAGAGCTCGTGCCGCAATAGCTGCAGGCACTCGCTCTGGCCACATGTCACTCCTTACATTCTGTAGGACACCACATGCTTCTGCGAGCCGGTGCCGCAACTTGGCCGCAACTGCAATGGCTCACTGTTTTCTCCATTGCCTCTTCGTCTCGGTGGATCTGTGAAGCTTGGTGATGCGTTTCAGCACCAACCTATCGCCAGCTCCACAGCCAACTCCCTCAAGCGGAGCCACGAAAACGCCAATGCACCGCCAAAGCAGCTCCAACGCCCGGCCCAGTAGCAAAGTCGGAATCACTGGCAACTCGCCATACGATCGGCAGAGCTCCGCGTGATTGTCATCGAGCAAACTGAGATTGGATCAAACGCAAGTCGCCCCGGCTGACCTTATCAGAAAGATTAGCCTGGCTAGACACCCACTCGAAGTGACCGTGCCATCTTTCCGGATGCACAGCGCATGAAACCGAAGCAGAAAACGATTAACATGCTAATCCCGACCGTAACCTTTGCGAGGTGCTGCCAAGCCTGCCCTGTTGTCACAGAAAGAGACCCATTAGGGGCACAAACTCGCACTGTTGGCCAAGAGGCAGATGGCCTGAGAGAAAATCTCAAGAACAGTATTTGTATATTCGACCGTCGAGCACCGAAACGACGCAAAATTTCTGGTGGCACCTGACCGTGCCCAGCCGTCACACGACCAGCGTTGCGGCAAATGAAGCCCCAGCCATTCTCTGCCAGATGCATGTTTGATGGCCAGTGAGCGGGAAGATCATCCACAGACACCGACCACTTACGATCCCCAAGCCTGAAGAAAGCGTCTGCGTATGACACCGCGACTGCAACCCCAGACTGCGCGAAAGGCAAGAAGCGAGGGATCGGAGATGACAGAAGAACCATCAGACACTGCATGCATGCTCTCAGTCCTGAGTTGAGCTCGTTGGTGCCATCTTTGGGTCCTGGGGTCCTCCCGTGCAAAGGCCGAGTCAGAGACAAACCAACCTGACCCCAGAGTGATGTCGAAAGAAAGCCGAGCATGCCCGGCAACCGTGCAGCCTCGCCCGGTCAAACGATCGGCTTCAAGCGCAGACCCAAGCTCGACCTGCAGCTTGTTCACTCGAGATTTGGATGGCCCAAACTCCATCCGTTCCATCTGCAAAATGGCCCAACGCAACTTCTGCACCTACTCCGGTGGTTGTCTCTTGGAAGACTTCAAACGAAAACCCAACCTTTTGCAGAAGGTGTCAAAGGACCTGAAGCTGGGCTATGCAGATGACTCTGGGTTGACACTCCCCAGGTCGTCATAATGAATGGCAGGGATGAGCAGCAAAGTCCTAGCCAAAGTGGAAAACGCTAGCGGTGGCACCAAACGGCATGACCCGATGTCGCCAAAGCGTAGGGCCAGACGGTGTCATCACGACCACATAACTGTCACATAACATTGACTCGGGGATTCCACTGGGTACTGACGATATGCAGAACGCAGGTCCGGTGCGCATATCACGGCAAACTCGCCGCTCGCGTGCAAATGCCTGACCATGGAAACACAAACTCCAACGTCGTCGTGAGGCGGAACGTCGCAAGCCTCGATAGTATCATTTTGAAAGCTACGGAGCTAGTCCTCGCATCGTCGTACCTTACGCTTGCCATCGGAGCCTTCCTGCACCACCGAGAAACCCCAAGAAATGCGAGGGTTGTTGATCGAAAAATCCTAAAGAGCCTCAAAGGCCGGAACCTTCCAACCGTCTGGAGCCCTGAAAGGACCCTCCATAAGGCCTTCGCGAACCTCAGTGACGACCTCAGACAACAAGGCTTGCCACTCATCATCGACCCGATGGTGCTGCAGACTTTCCTGAAGATGGTTCGCCTTCAGCTGCCGAAAAGACTCGCAACTAATCGGAGCGCTGTGCTTGCGATCGTATCGGCGGCTGGCTTCGAGCCAGCATCACTTGACATCCGGATCCAAAGGACCTTTCATGCCATCTGGAGCTTCTCTGCTAGCTAGCCTCAGAATTGGCAGGAGTGGTGCGGCAGGGCAGGGCAAAAGGCGGTTGCCCGAGCTCACCTCGTCATGAAACTTCAAACCTTTCATGTGGAACTTCGCAATCGAGTCCTTCGGCGGGTTGATGAAAGCGAAGCCGCCTTGTCGCGACCACCTGAGCGGCCTGTCGGTAACGGGGTTCGTACGAAGTCCACCCGCATGGGAGTCGAGGAAATCGCAGAGGACGTGAAATAACTTACCAATTGGGCCGGGACCATTGACCACCTTTGAATAGTCTGGACAAGGAGGCCCAGCAAGAACATGGCTGGGCGACCGTGCGGCAACTCCTTCAGCATGTCGGCGACGACAATGGGATCATCCTGTGTCAAGTCGCGTCGCTCAAAACTTGGACACTCGATTGGAAGGTGCATCAACCTCCGATTGTGAAAAGAGCCTGCACTCGAACCCCGGCTGCTGGACTGCAAAGGCGGCCGAACCCATTCCATCAAACATAGAAAGAACGATGACATCCTTGATGTGTGCCAGCGGCGGCAGCTGTAGCGAGAAAGGTGGCGGCTGAGCAGCCGCAGTCGAAGCCGGTTTGCCCGTCTGAAGGCGAGGTCCCGAGGCCAGAGTAGCAGAAGAAGTTGCGGTTGTGGATGAACTCGCAGTCATCGTCACTCCATCGCCATCCATATATTTGACTCCATGATCGGGATCTCGAACCCTGTCGGGACGATGAAACCATTCATGTGCCGCGCGGAATGCCGGTCGGGTCTAACTCGCGGCACCGGGGGGAAAGCCCGCGCTGTCCTAGTGGCGCGAGTCGGCAAGCCAAGATTGACTAGCATGCCATGGCCGAGTCCAATCATGCGCCTCCCGCTACTTGCCCTTCCATGCACCCTTCCCCTGTCCAAAACCGAAGAAAAACTCCTAACTCGCTGCTGAAGCGAGGAAAAACCCAGGTCCGTGCTGGGTCTGGAGCTAGATGAGGCCGCTCCGAACAACCCCTGTAGGAAATGTGCTCGCTGCCAAAATCCGCGAGATCGCCCGAAGCTGACGGAGACATGCAACGTTCTGACAAAGAGCATCCTGCACGGACATCGACTCCCGATGCACCTCACCTGAAAAGATGCACTCCCCTGCGTCACACTTTAGGGACGTGAGCAAATCGCCGTTTTGCTCCCAAACAGCGTCCATAATGCAATGACGAGCCCTTATCGTACACCTCATGATAATCGAAGCCACAGAAGATTGACAGCAAAGAGGCGCTCGGCCTCTGCGCAGTAAGCCATT